TCGTCATCTATTACTTCTACTACTATGGCTAACGCTTTAGCAATAAAATAAAGTAATTACATGACGTTTATGTTGACACACAGGTCATAAATAAATTAAGACAACTCCTATGGCTCCTGCCGGTTGTCATACTCATCAACATGCAAGTCGTGATTCCTATTACAAGAATATGATCAATCTCATACATCACATATATCATTCATCACATCCTTTTGGCCATATCACATCACACGGCACATGCTGCAAAAACAAGTTAGACGTCCTCTAATTGTTGTTGCAAGTTTTTACGTGGCTGCTATAGGTTTCTAGCAAGAACGTTTCTTACCTACGCCAAAACCACAACGTGATATGCCAATTTCTATTTAACCTTCATAAGGACCCTTTTCATCGAATCCGATCCGACTAAAGTGGGAGAGACAGACACCCGCTAGCCACCTTATGCAACTAGTGCATGTCAGTCGGTGGAATCAGTCTCACGTAAGCGTACGTGTAAGGTCGGTCCGGGACGCTTCATCCCACGATGCCGCCGAATCAAGATAATACTAGTAACGGCAAGTAAATTGACAATATCGACGCCCACAACTGCTTTGTGTTCTACTCGTGCAAAGAAACTACGCATAGACCTAGCTCATGATGCCACTGTTGGGGAACGTAGCAGAATTTTAAAATTTTCTACGCATCACCAAGATCAATCTATGGAGTCATCTAGCAACGAGGGAGAGGGAAGTGCATCTACATACCCTTGTAGATCGCGAGCGGAAGCTTTCAAGAGAACGGGGTTGATGGAGTCGTACTCGTCGTGATCCAAATCACCGATGACCTAGCGCCGAACGGACGACACCTCCGCGTTCAACACACGTACGGTTGGGAAGAAGCCTCCTCCAACTTGATCCAACAAGGGGAAGGAGAGGCTGATGGATATCCAGCAGCACGACGGCGTGGTGGTGGAAGCAACGGTGATCTCGGCAGGGCTTCACCAAGCTCGGGGAGAGGGAGAAGTGTCACGGGAGGGAGAGGGAGACGCCAGGGGCTAGGGTGCGGCTACCCTCCCTCCCCCACTATATATAGGACCCCTAGGGGGGCGCCGGCCCTAGGAGATGGGATCTCCAAGGGGGGCGGCGGCCAAGAGGGGTGGAGTGCCCCCCAAGCCAAGTGGGGCGCCCCCACCCCTAGGGTTTTCAACCCTAGGCGCAGGGGGAGGCCCATGGGGGGCGCACCAGCCCACTAGGGGCTGGTTCCCCTCCCACTTCAGCCCATGGGGCCCTCCGGGATAGGTGGCCCTACCCGGTGGACCCCCGGGACCCTTCCAGTGGTCTCGGTACAATACCGATTACCCCCCAAAATTTCCCGATGGCCGAAACTTGACTTCCTATATATAAATCTTCACCTCCGGACCATTTCGGAACTCCTCGTGACGTCCGGGATCTCATCCGGGACTCTGAACAACTTTCGGGTTACCGTATACTAATATCTCAACAACCCTAGCGTCACCAAACCTTAAGTGTGTAGACCCTATGGGTTCGGAAGACACGCAGACATGACCGAGACGACTCTCTGGTCAATAACCAACAGCGGGATCTGGATACCCATGTTGGATCCCACATGCTCCTCGATGATCTCATCGGATGAACCATGATGTCGAGGATTCAATCAATCCCGTATACAATTCCCTTTGTCAATCGGTACGTTACTTGCCCGAGACTCGATCGTCGGTATCCCAATACCTCGTTCAATCTCGTTGCCGGCAAGTCACTTTACTCGTACCGTAATGCATGATCCCGTGATCAACCACTTGGTCACATTGAGCTCATTATGATGATGCATTACCGAGTGGGCCCAGAGATACCTCTCCGTCATACGGAGTGACAAATCCCAGTCTCGATTCGTGCCAACCCAACAGACACTTTCGGAGATACCCGTAGTGTACCTTTATAGTCACCCAGTTACATTGTGACGTTTGGCACACCCAAAGCACTCCTACGGTATCCAGGAGTTGCACAATCTCATGGTCTAAGGAAATGATACATGACATTCGGAAAAGCTCTAGCAAATGAACTACACGATCTTTAAGCTATGCTTAGGATTGGGTCTTGTCCATCACATCATTCTCCTAATGATGTGATTCCGTTATCAATGACATCCAATGTCCATAGTCAGGAAACCATGACTATCTTTTGATCAACGAGCTAGTCAACTAGAGGCTCACTAGGGACGTGTTGTGGTCTATGTATTCACACATGTATTACGATTTCCGGATAACATAATTATAGCATGAACAATAGACAATTATCATGAACAAAGAAATATAATAATAACTATTTTATTATTGCCTCTAGGGCATATTTCCAATAATCCAACATGTTGGGGATGGGTCCAGCCTATCGTATCCAACATGGCAGACGCGTCTTGGACGCGTAGTGTTTCATATCCCTCCCACATACGGGTTGGCTCTAAGAGCAACTCTAGCAGACCCCGCATCCAGCCGGCCCACAAAACTCGTTTGCAGTTTGCGCAAAACAGCTTTTGCGGGCCGGCGCGGGCTGGCACAGATGCAGACCCCCCAAACGGATCCGTAAAAAAATATATTCGCGGAATATGCTTTTTTACGGGTCGGCTATGCGGGTTCTGCTCTTTGCGCCGCTGCATCCCCGCATATCATCAGCCCGCAAATATCAAATCCAACATAATTCAACAATCAAAAACAAACTAAATTATTCAAATCAAACATAAAACAATAATCATCCGCATTACAAATGATTATTCAAATCATCGTAGCAAACTTAAATAATGTAATACAAAACTTGTCATGAATACATACAAATGAATACAAAAATTAGTCATTGTCCAACCCTTTGCCAATGGTGCTCAATGAGATCTTCCTGAAGTTGAAAGTGTGTGTCTGCATTTTCAATCTCCTTGTATGTATGAAGAAAAGCTCTAATGCGGTTTGGGTCTCTAGTTGGTTTGACACGGCTACCCACATTGTCGTAAAAGAATTCTAAGTTCATTCCTCTCTCATCTTCAAGAATCATATTGTGCAGGATAACACAGCAAGTCATGATGTTCTTCAGGGTTTTCTTATCCCCAAAACAAGCAGGACCACGGACAATGGCAAACCTAGATTGCAAAACACCGAATGCTCTTTCGATGTCTTTTCGGGCTGCCTCTTGCACCCTTGCAAATTCACATTATTTTTTGTTTTGGGTTCTTTGATGCTCTTGACAAATGTGCACCAAGGAGGGTATATACCATCTGCAAGATAGTACCCTTTTGTGTACTCATGCCCATTGATAATGTAGTTGCAAGCAGGAGCATCACCACTAGCAAGCCTAGCAAACAAATGAGAGCGTTGCAACACATTGATATCATTGAGAGTGCCAGGCATACCAAAAAAGCAATGCCAAATCCATAAATCCTCGGATGCTACGGCCTCTAGCACAATTGTTGCATCACAAGACTTGCCATAATACATTCCTTGCCAAGCCTTGGGGCAATTTTTCTAATTCCAATGCATACAATTAATCCTACCTAGCATGCCAGGCCAACCTCTCCTCTCATTAGCTGCCATCAATTTCTTTATATCATCTTTATTTGGTGCCCGAAGATACTCGGGACCAAAGACACGGACGACCACTTTCGCAAATCTACGCACAGACTCAATTGTGCTATCTTCACCAATGCGAAGATACTCATCGGTATAGTCAGCCGGAACACCATATGCAATCACCCGCATAGCCGCGGAGATTTTTTGATATGCACTAAATCCCTTTAAGCCCGCGTCATTCCTTCTTTGAGTAAAATACTAGCAATTTGCCTCGCAAGCTTCAACAAGTTTCACAAAGAGGGATCGGCGCATTCGGTACCTTCTGCGAAAGAGGTGTGCAGGATATGTAGGATCCTTCGCAAAATAATCTTGCATCAACATCTCGTTCCCAAGATGGCGATTCCAAGGAATGCACAGACACCCGACAGTAGATCCTCGCCTCCTCTTCCGGTACTCGTCTTCATGCTCCTTCACGGCAAGCGCCATGACTAATGTTTGCTGCCGAAAGGTCGCAAGCATGGTCTCCACATTCGAGTCATTCGAATCAGACGAATCGGATAGCAAGAACTTCTCGCACGGGGTCAACTCCATCTACACGTACACCGGCGTGTCAATCTACTACACAGCTTGCAAAAATCACAAAAAAAGACTAACCGGTGGCGAGTGATCCCGGGCGGCGACGAGGGGGGTGCGCTCGGCGGTGGTCGATCCCCAGCGCCGGCGGCGGCGGGGGGCGGCTCTTCTCGCCGGATTGGGAGGGGCGGTGCAGCAGCTCGGCGCGGGAGGGTGTGGGGCGGCCCCGCGGAGCGATTCCGCCCGCAGATATGGCCGGAATCGCCGGCGGCAGGCGGGCGGAAGCAGAAGGAGGGGGGGGGAAAGAGTGTGTGGCTGAAATGTTCCTTCCGCCAACTGCTTCTCTGTGATGTAGGGCACCGCAGCCGCGAGGGAGAAACCTGCGTTTTCTCGAGTTGGGGTCAGGAATTTGCCGCGCCTCCCAAAAATTTTTGCGGGCCGAGACGAGAAGCGGGGTCTGGTTGGGCAGGCTTTCCGGCCCGTAGCCGGGTCGGAGATATGGGGTCTGCTAGAGTTGCTCTAAGGCGTGCCAGACAACCCCAAATGTTTGGGCTAGCTTTGAAGTCATGGTCAGGCTGACCATTGACTCCACTGTAGGCTGTAGCCGCCCTTCTTCCTCGGTTCCATCGACCTTCCTTGGCCGTCCCTATCACCATTGACGCTTGCATACCTGCCTGCCTGTCCTTTTCTCTGAATTTTCCAATCACACTCCATCGTTTCACTTTCACGGCAAACTTGGTCGTCAAGGTTCCTTCCTACAGTAAGTCACAATTTGTATGTGATGTGGTCAAACAGAGTGGGCGCTTGCTCTGACAGATTCCAGCTATAAACACAGGCCACCTCTGCTCGCCGTCGCCAACCAGAGCACGTAGCCCAAAAGAAAATGCAGCAGGCCGGCCAAGGAGCGCAGCCCGCCAAGAAGCCGGCCATGGAGGTGACGCTCCGGCGGTTCAGCCTCGACGACGTGGACGCCATGATGGCGTGGGCGTCGGACCCGCAGGTGGCCGCCCCCTGCCGCTGGGAGCCGTACGAGTCCACGGAGCCCCTGCTCGCCTTCATCCGCGACGCCGTGCTCCCGCACCCCTGGTTCCGCGCCATCTGCCTCGCCGGCGACGGCGACCGCCCCGTCGGCGCGATCTCCGTGTCGCCGACGGACGACGCGTGCCGCGCGGAGCTCGGGTACGTGCTGGCGCGCGCGCACTGGGGGAAAGGGGTGGCCACGGCGGCCGTGCGGCGGGCGGTGGCCGCGGTGTTCGGCGAGGTGGAGGGGCTGCAGCGCGTGGAGGCGCTGGTGGACGTGGCCAACGTGGCGTCGCAGCGGGTGCTGGAGAAGGCCGGGTTCCGGCGGGAGGCCGTGCTGCGGCGGTACTGCCTGCTCAAGGGCGCCGTCAAGGACATGCTCATCTTCAGCTTCATCTCCACCGACACTGTGCTGCTCGACTGATTGGTGTCATAATTCAGCTTCATGTATACCCACCCGAAAAGAAATTTTCGTAATGTCATGTGAAACTTTGCTTTCTTTATTAATTGTTCAGTCAAGTTAATAAACAGACTGGTTATGGAATCTTCTAGAAGGTTGCTAACCGCTTCAGGTCCATTTTTTTTCCAGTTGTTTCTTTTACATTATTTCTATTTTATTTTAAATTTTCAAAAGGATGATTTTTTCTAAATAAAATGTTCGAAAATCTTCATAAATTGTTTGTAATTTCAAAAAATGCTCATGTTTTCAAAAAAATGTCCATGAATTTCAAAAAATGTTCATGTTTTCAAATATTGTTTGAAATTTAACAAAGTGTTTCCGTTTTGAGATTTCACAGAAAATCAGAGGTAAAAAAAGAGTTTATGTTTCAACAGAAACGTTTCGGATTTCAAAAACAAATCCCTTTTTCAAAATTTGTTCACAAATTAAAAAACTGTTTGCATTTTTTAAAAATGAGCACAGATTCAAAAATTGTTTGGAATTTCCAAAGTTGTACCACCACTGCATTTCCTTTGCTCTAAAGGTGCACGTGGGATTGGCAACTTTATACTCGTCGTGCATACTTGATTTACCACCGCTGCACGCTAGGTAGCTTGGTCGGTATATAGTACTCCCTCCGTTCACTTTTATAAATCATTTCAGACAACTAAAAAATAGGCTATTTTGCACATTGTCTGAAATGTCTTTAAGGCCTTATAAAAATGAATAGAGGGAGTACTATCTTAGACTAGTGCGACGAACTCATTCACGTATATGATCCTAGCTAGAGTACCGGCAGCTGCACATCCGCCTCCAAGCTCTAGCTACGATCGTCATCAACCACAGACCTCCCCTCCATCAACGGTGTTGTGGAGAACAACAACCCGCCCGCCCGGAGGCGCTCTGGATCCGTTTCTTCCACTCGTTTGTCAGCCGTCCAAGACTGGCACCACCTTCCGGGTCACCATTTGTGTTTCTTTTTCATGCGTCGTCGTTGATCTAGTGGCTATACTGTAGCTGCTCCACGCTCACCTGCCCCCGCGCGTGGGAAGCGTGCGCCCATGGCGACGGAGGTGACCCTGCGCCGCTTCGACCTCTCGGACGTGGACGCCATGATGGCATGGGCGTCCGACCCCGAGGTCGCCGCCTTCTGCCGCTGGGAGCCCTTCGCGTCCACGGAGACGGAAGCCCTGCTCGCCCACATCCGGGACACCGCGCTCCCGCACCAGTGGTACCGCGCCATCTGCCTCGCCGGCGACGCCCGCCCCGTCGGCTCGGTGTCCCTGGAGCCCACGGCTGACCGGTGCCGCGGGGAGCTCGGCTACGTGGTGGCCCGCGCGCACTGGGGCAGGGGCGTGGCCACCGCCGCCGTGAGGGCCGCGCTCGCCGCGGTGTTCGGCGAGGTGGAGGGGCTGGCCCGCGTGGAGGCGCTCGTGGACGTGGACAACGCGGCGTCGCAGCGCGTGGTGGAGAAGGCCGGGTTCCGGCGCGAGGGCATGCTGCGGCGCCACTACTGGCACAAGGGCCGCGTCAGGGATCTCGCCATCTACGGCTTCGTCTCCGGCGATCCCTTGCCCCCATCACATGAGGATGAGGTAGGTAAGCCGCTCGCTCGCCGTGACTCTCGTACGTCCAGCGTCTCACTCTGTCCAACGAATTAGGGTCGGAGACCGATGGAGCGAGAAGCGGCAGCCCGGACGCCGGAGCGCGCGGACGAGGTGACCCTCCGGCCGTTCGACCTCCCCGACGCCGACGCCGACGCCATGACGGCGTGGGCGGAAGACCCCGAACTAGTACCGCCTACGGCCTCCATGGCGTCGGGGGTCCACTTCTCCCCGTCCCGCGACGCCCTGCTCGCGTTCCTCCGGGGCACCGACCCGCCGCACACCTGGATCCGCGCCGTCTGCCTCGGCGGCGCCATCGTGGGCGCGGTGACCGTGTTGCGCACAGAGGACCGGTGCCGCGCGGAGGTCGGGACCGCGCTGGCGCGCGCGCACCGGGGCAGGGGCGTGGCCGCGGCGGTCCTGAGGAGCGCGGCGACCGCGGCCTTCGGGGACCTGGAGGGCGTGGAGCGCGTGGAGGCGCTGGTGGACGCGGACGACGCCGCGTCCCTGCGCGCGCTGGAGGACGCCGGGTTCCGCCGCGAGGCCGTGCTGCGGCGCCACCGCGACGCCAAGGACGTGGTCGTCTACAGCCTCATCTCCACCGACGGCGACCCACTCATCGACTCACGCAGTTCATGACGATGTTGGCTGGCTTGCTGCCATACGAAATGCTAATAAAATCGACTCACGCATCATCAACACCATCAAATGTTACCAAGAAAAAGAAACCGAATTACATTGCTGTGTTTCACTCTCAGCCGCGGATTACAAGAAGAAGGTGCTGCTGCTGCTGTTCTGCCGGTCTCTCCAAGAGATCGGAGCTTATGTATGAGAGAACACACGGGCTCGATTATTGAACTTTTTGTTGAGTTGAGACTTGGACGGGATCCCCATGGAGACGGCGAGAGAGCACGGGCATTGCAGGATGCCGGCCGGCGGTCGATCAGGCCTCCCAGCCGCGGAGGACGGTGGCGCGGGCGACGCGGTTGACGCCGAGGGTGAAGGCGCCCATGCGGAGGTCGCAGTGGTGGGAGCGGCACATCTCCTTGGTGTCCCGGAAGGCGCGGGTCATGTACGTCTTGAGCTCCCGGTTCACCTTCTCCTCGTCCCACATGAACCCCTGGATGTTCTGCACCCACTCGAAGTAGCTCACCGTCACGCCACCCGAGTTGGCCAGGATGTCCGGCAGGATCAGCACCCCCTTCTTCGCCAGAATCTGCACCACGAACATGTGCATTTCTCCACTGTCAGTCAGTGTGTGAATTGAATTATGTCAACAAATGCGAGCTTTGTTTTGTGGCAAAATTTTGGGTGTTCTTGCCTCGTCGGCCTCGGGGTCTGTCGGGTGGTTCGCAGCCTCGATGATGTATTTTGCTTTGATGGCATCAGCATTGTCCCTAGGAGAACAAATCATGGTTAAGAACAGCCTTTTTATTAACAAAAATGTTTTAAGATACCGAAAAAAATAACAGCCAGGAGGATACTAGTATAATTGAAGTTCAGAGCAGAAATCTGATAGAAGGTAGGATATAAAGTGAGCTGGGACGAGGAAGAAGAAGATTACTTGTTTATGACTCCTCCCAGCGCTGCCGGGATGAGCACATCGCACTCTTCGGTGAGCAGCGAGGTCGGGTCGACGGCGTCTCCTCCGTCAAAGCCCTTGATCCCACGGTTCTCCGCCGAGTGCTTCATCAGCTTGGCTATGTCAATGCCATTGGAGTTCTTGACAGCCCCTGTGACATCGCTGATGGCGATCACCTTGCCGCCAGCTTCAGTGATCAGTTGAGCAGCCCAGGAGCCAACATTACCGAATCCCTGAAAAAGGCAAAGCACCCAATAATTGCTTATCTCTGCAAATGTAGGTGAAGAAACATAGTTCTGATCTTACTTTCTTTTTAGTAAGAAAAGTTCTGGTCTTGCTCCCTTACTCCCTTTTGTAACCATAAAGTTCAAAAGTGCGTATTGTGCGATCCACTGACGGTCACTTTTTAACTAGTAGTATTTCTTAAATCTATGTTTGTAATAATAGATTGAGGCTTCATGACTCACACCACACTGAATCCTCAATTCAATTACTTTTCATCATTTTAAATTCAAAGAGCTTAACTCATTAGCCTACACATTATTTAATTACCTGGATTACAAAACGCTGGCCTGCAATGCCTTTGCCATGCTCTGCAAGTAGGGCTTCAGTGGCAAACAGAACTCCCCTTCCAGTAGCTGCATCTCTTCCCAGTGATCCTCCAAGGTCCTGTGTTGAGCAAAAAATTCTCTCGACAATCAAATGCTGCATCTTCCACATTTGATCTGGAAATAACATTTCCATTGCACATTATATGATAGAGTTTCAGGATGGATAATTACCACAGGCTTTCCTGTCACCACAGCAGGTGAGTAGCCATGGAACTTTGAGTACTCATCCAGTATCCATGCCATTGTCTGAATCCATGAATGAAACAAGCAAAAGAATCCACATCAGAATACAGATGAATAATTCTCACAGCACTCTGCAGAGAAATAATAAATATGCAAAGGACAATAAATAACCTGTGCGTTGGTGCCCATATCTGGAGCTGGAACATCGGTGTGGATGCCAATTAAGTCATGAATTTTCTGGGTGAAAACTCGGGTAAGCCGTTCGAGCTCCGATATGCTCAGGTCTCCGGGACTGCACCCAATGCCACCTTTAGCGCCTCCATACGGAATATTGGCCACGGCTGTTTTCCATGTCATCAGTTGCGCCAAGGCATTGACCTCGTCAGGATCAACCTGAATTTTATCATAGTTTGTCAGTGCAAGAACTTACTATGATCATAGATAATCTTGGTTGCCAGTGTCTTGAACTTGCATGCACATGATCGGTTTTTATGGAAACCAAGTCAGAATGTCAGAATGTGATCCAGTATAGTAGCTTTAGTGAGACGTGACTAATTTCCAAAATAGCTTTGTTCTGCTTTACTGCAAGTAGATATTGCAATTGCATAACTAGGTATGGGCTGAACAGTAAGTCATTCAACTGTCTGACAGATTCCGGAAGGAGATCGAATTTATGCGGAAGGACCATTTCAAGTCGGCGACAGCGCGGCAAGAATCGAGTGCTTATTGGATGGTTGTATCATGATGAACAGAAGAACCCAGGAATATATATACATATATGTGTGCTCACCTCATGGTGGTATCTGATTCCACCCTTCATAGGGCCCCTGGCATTGTCATGCTGCACCCTAAACCCAACATAGGATGCTAATGTCCCATCATCTTTCGGGATTGTGCACTCAACCTGCAACCACACAAGCAGCATGTTACTGAATAATGGAACAAACAGTTTAGCTTACATAGACAGCAAACATACTCAAAAGTTAGAACGGTCCTGCACACGGTTTAACCTTACAGAGTAAGTGGCTAAGAGGTCAGTTCAACGAACTTTTTTTGCCATATTCAGCAGGAAAATCAGAATAAATTAACATGCATAGGGAAAGTAAGAGTGTGTGAGAGAGAAAATCAAGTGAAGTTCCCCACAAATAAATAAATAAATCAAGTGAAGTAGTAGGTTGGAAAATGTCGAATCCGAAGATAATCTGGTAGCCTAACCAGAAATTCATAAATTTACAGACCAGATAAGAAATAATCGCAGGTCAACTATACTAAGTCCCCAAGGACCAAGGTGATACTTCTCAATAACCACTGAACTCCATAGAACAAAGAGCGTACATCGCTATCCAGATTCACTCATTCACAGCAAAAAACAGAAAAAAAATCCGGGATCAAGGAATAATCACCTTGATCTCCCTGAAGGGGATGAGCAGGCTCTTCTCGAGCTTGGAGTCGAGGCCCAGCAGCTTGGCCGCCTGCTTGAAGTTCCGGCTGGTGGCCGCCAATGCGTTCATCCTGCCCGACGAAATCCCCCCTCCGGAGCCGCCGCGCCTGAAAAACGGATCCAGAAACCCAACATCATAGGTAGCAATCCAAGAACACTAATCACACGAGACAAAAAGATTAAACTCTGCGCGAGGAACCAAAGGATAATCTGCTTTTATATTACCGGCGAGTGGAGTAGCCGCGAAGTGTTAGTGGCGAGCAGCGGCACAAAGACTATGGAGGAGTTTCAGGTAGGCCGTATGCATATATAGGCACACTGGGCTGAACCCCTCGGTGGATTTGGGTTCCGTTCAAAAAGCAGAGGAGATTTTTCTTTTAAATTTTAATTTTTTTTTGTCTCTACAAGGATAAGAACAAGATCTGATTCTCGCCCTGCCTGCAATTAATTTCCCTCGAGACCCGAGCCCTGTCTGCACTCAATACCGTAATTAACTACTACTACTCCTAGCCTACCAGTACCAGATTGAAGAGCATCAATCTATGCCAAGGAATCGACCACCTCCCCTTTTGTTTAGTTTAGAAGAGGTGCTAGGCTAGGAGGAGCGCTGCTCAGTAGTTCCGGGCTAGGAGCTTACTAACATCTACTACAAAATGATCACTGTTCTAGGGCCAACATCTGAATGAAGATTCAGACTGCCGACAGCTGCGCTTGTTTTGCTGAGAAAATGCCCAGAATTTGAGCCACAAGTCAGTGGAAGTGAGTGTTCAAGGAAGCCTCTGCATGTGGCAACTTCAGATTACTGCTCAAATCGGTTAGGTGTGCTATGTACGTATGTATCAATGTATGTACTGAGCTGTGGATGTACCGGCTGCACAGCTTGCGCCAGGCAATTTGCTGATACGCTGACGGTGATGAGCATGCATGCACGTGTAACACGTGATTCCTGACACTTCATGCTCACAATACATGTCCGTCAACAGTCAAGTACTGCTCCCTCCGTTTCTAAATATAAGGCTTTTTAGATATTGGTTTTAAGAGAGACTACATATAAATGTATATAGACATGTTTTAGAGCGTAGATTCACTCATTTTACTCGGTATGCACTACTCTGTATCAATCAAAATCTCTAAAAAGGCTTATATTCAGAGACGGAGGGAGTAGTACTTAATCACAGCTACAGCTAGAGCTCAACAACTTGGTCTAGCAGTTGAGTGATACTGCTACTGTAGAAGAAATCTGGTGTCTGTGCTTCGGCCGCCTGTAAGAGATGGAAATTTCAGAAGCAACTTGTGGGAAAACGCACATGGCTGACTCAACTGCGAATTATTTGGCTAACCATGCAATTTTGCACTGTTTTGCATAGCACAATCTAATAATTTGGCTAACCATGCAATTTTGCACTGTTTTGCGTAGCACAATCTAATAATTGGACACAAAGACACGTGTATCCCATGGGTCAGGGGGTTGTTGGCAAACTCGGATTAAGGCTAGCTAATGATCTGCATAGGATGTGTGAAGCATATGCCATATGCCGTATGTTATTTATTTATTTGATTGACAACACATATGCCGTATAATTTTTGTGTCATATGGTGACAAGAAATATATCATATGCCATGGACAGGGCTGGTATGATAATTAAACGAACCTATTAGTGTGGCTAATGCCAACTTTGGCTCGGGGTAAGAGGGCATAAGTTCCAGGAAGATGCATTCGCCGAAAAGTGGGGACAGATTGCGGGAGCAGGACAACCCCAGAACGGCCAGCAAAATCATGTGGAGAAGAAGAAGAAGCAATACGGGTCGAAAGTGGTTTAGC